CAAACCCTTGGGCCTGGTTCCTCAGCAGGGAGTCTCCTGCCTGCAGGATGCATTAGAGTACAGGCTGTGACACTGGTGGGACAGTCTCCTCAGGATGGCCTACTTGGACACCAGCTTTTCTTTTGATTGAACTGTGACACCACAGCTGGGTGTGGTGGCCAACACCTGTCCCCCAAGCACTTGGGAAGCAGAGGGCTAGCCTGTGCTACATGACAGCTGTCTACGAGGGAAAAGAGTGAGAGCAGACAGCGTCTACCTGCTGTGGCTGCCCACACACTAGCGTGAGACCACTTGGAGACACTCCCAGGGACCCATGGGACTGCAGAGCTGACACAAATCCACTTATGAGACTCAAGAACACCCAGGTCAACCAGCAGGAGTCCAGTGTGTGCCCTGATCGCCCCATCCAGGGTCTCCCGTGGGCCTGGCTTGGGTGAGTAGGAAAAGCAGCCATGTTTTCCACGCTGGGTAGTTCCTCCCTCAAGGCCGCCAGGATGTCACAATCCCGGTGTGCTGTCAAAACTGCTTGCAGGGTGATGAACTCTGGCCTGCAGATGAGTCAACAGAGGGGTGGGTTCCGAGTGCCTGCTGTTTACACACCGTCACCGTGGCCACAGTCAGGCAGCCGGAAGTACAATCAAGGGTCACAGTGGCCAGGGAGGTGCTGAGTCCTCGGCACACACAACCGTCAGCCCCTGAAGACTCCATCTCCAGGCTGCTTCCCTCTTGCTCTAGTTTTCGGAGTACTCAGGTCGGCACCATCCAGCACCTCCCTGGAGACACACACAGGGAAGCCACGCCCCAGCAGGCCAAAGGCACAAGGCCGCACACTCTGATGCCCACACCAGCATGCTGCACCTGCCTGGCAGAGCCACAGCCCTCTGAGGCCTTGATGCCTGGCTCCGGAGCCACCTCCCTGCTTAGAGGTTCTGAGAGGTGACTCAGCCTCTAGAGCCACCACCCGTGACCTCACCTGAAAACTGGACCTGCTCCCCGATGGGGCTGACTGGAATGGATGGCACAGGCAAGCAAGAGGTGATCCCAAGGAGGTGATCCTGTCACACTCCAGCTTCCTCTGAAAACAGGGCACAGCACAGACATGCCAGTGAGGTGTGACGGTCCCTCAGTCACTGAGTGTACTCTAGGGACACTGGCAGACTGGCCTGAGGCCCCTGTGCATGGAAAGGAAGCCTGGGACAGACCCCTCTGTCCATGGTGTGCCTCAAGGAACACTAGCCCACTCTGTTCAGGGCAGTGTCCTGGTAATTCCAAAAGGCTGGAGTCCCCAGGGATAAGTGAACCACGCCAGGAAGGTGCGGGCTTAGCTGGGGCTCCTCTTGCCCCATACTCAGCTTTTCCCATGGTGCAGCACAGTGAGCCAGGCCCCCAATGCCCTTCGAAGCCCTATCTGACCATCAGAGCCCTACTTCACTTCTTCTTCCTCCTCCTCCTCTTTCCTTCTTCTTCTTCCTTCCTTCCTTCCTTTTTTTGTTTGGTTTTCCGAGACAGGGTTTCTCTGTGTAGTTTTGTTGCCTGTCCTGGATCTCACTCTGTAGACCAGGCTGGCCTTGAACTCACAGAGATCCGCCTGCCTCTGCCTCCCGAGTGCTGGGATTAAAGGCATGCACCGCCGCCGCCGCCGCCGCCGCCGCCGCCACCCAGCCCTACTTCACTTCTTATTGACATCTACCCTGGTGGATCTCCCTTGCCCATCTCTGCCAACTCCAGAGGATTCTAGAACATCAGGTGTAACATGAGGGGTACATCTCAGTGCCTCTGGGACCACAGGCCCGCCCTATGCTGACAGGGGAGGACAGTGCAGGATGGGCCCAGAAAGTGGCCTCCTACAGGCAAGTGACAGCTGCCCAGAGACATGGGGCAGAGCAGAATGCAGGCCAGAGCACTCTCAGTAGAAGCTGGGGCTCAGGTGGGAGTGGAAGTCTGCAGACCCAAGAAGGGTCTGGAGGGGTCAGGTCCTTGCTAGCCCATAGGCTCTCAAGGCTCTGCTGGACCCTGCTGGAACCCTCAATTTCCCCTGACCTCTCTTTCCACCAAGGACAGGGTGGGTGCATGCGGCCACCGAGCCCACCTAGCCAACACGGATGAACTACAATGGAATCTCATGGCCGTCAGGGACGTGCCTCTCCGTAGCCTCTCGGTAGCCGACAGCTGTTCTGGAAGGATGAGAAGACCACATTTCCTTCTCTTTTCTAAAGCCACACCCACTGCGCCCCAACACACACAGAAGTGCCACATCAGCACCAGTTTGGCTTGGGAACGTTTTAAAGTTTGTTTAGCCCAGGCTGGCCTTGAGCTCCTAACTCTCCTGCCTCATCCTACCCAGCCCTGGGACCCCAGGCAGTTTGTGTTTTTGTTTGTTTCTTTTTTTACATTCCAGGAGAAAAAGCCCCAAGTCCCAGGTAGGGTGGACTCTGGTGGTCCCTGTGGCTGTGCCCTGAACTGGCATGGTCTTCTGTTCCAGTACAGGCTACCACACATTTCGCAGCCCTCTACTGAAACACACCCAGCCCCTTCCCTAGGCCACACACAGCCGTTCCACAGCTAGTTCCTTCAAGTCCCTGAAGTTAAGAAAAGCTCCTGGCAATTCAAAATAAAATACAGGACTGTGCTAGGGCACAGCTGTCAAGCCAACACGGAAAGCCAAGGCAGGAGAGCCCTGAGTTCACAGCCAGCTTGGGCTTCAGCACAGGACCACGTCTTTAAAAATAAAGAACTGGTGGTACAGCTCAATGGTGAGCGACTGCCCAGCAGGCTCAAGGCCCGGCGGCTGGAAAAGCCAGAGTAACCAACCCGCGCAGGTGGCTTTTAGTGGGGCATAACTCAAAGCAGGAAGAACAGAAATGGTGCTGGCTCTGTGAGCGTCAGCTGTTGACCAGTACCTCTCTAGTCACCAAAGTTTCTCCAAGTCCCTCCTGACCACCATCCCAAACCTGCCCCTTCCTGCACAGAAGTAAGATTAAATCCGAGCCAGGCATGGAAGCACACACCTTTAGTCTCAGCTCTCTGCAAGCAAAGGCAAGTAGACCTTGTGAGGTGGAAGTCAGCCTGGCCTACCTGACAAATCCCAGTCAAACCAGGACTACATAGTGAAGACTTAAAAACACACAGCCAGAGCAGGGTGGTGGTGGCGCACACCTTTAATCCCAGCACTCAGGAGGCAGAGGCAGGTGGATCTCTGTGAGTTCGAGGCCAGCCTGGTCTACGGAGTGAGATCCAGGAAAGGCGCAAAGCTACACAGAGTAACCTTGTCTCGGGGGAAAAAAAAAAGAAACAAACAAACAAAAACCCCAAAACAACAACAGAAAAAATCCACAAACAAACAAAAACCCCAAAACAACAACAGAAAAAAATCCACAAACAAACAAACAGCCAGAGTTTGGAGCCAGGTGGTGGTGGTGGCAGTGGCAGCGATTGACAGCAAATCCCAGCACTCAGGAGGCAGAGGCAGGTGGATATCCATGACTTTGAGACCAGCCTGGTCTACAGAGTGAGTTCCAGGGCTGCCAGGGCTACACAGAGGAACCCTGTCTTGAAAAACTAAGCAAACAAACAATGTATCTCTGAAGCTGGACTAGTGGTGTGTGCCTGTCTGCCACCTTGGCACTTAGAGAGTCATGAGTTTGAGACCAAGCTAACATAGAATGAGGATCCGATGCTGACAAGAGATTAAACTTCAAAGTCGCCGTGCCACTTAAGTGCCGTGTCAGCTTTCCAGATAAACACAGGGTTGGACTGCCCCAAACTGAATGCTGCCAGCCAGGCTCCCTCGTGGTCAGTCACCCTGCGGCAGGCATGGCTGGCTTCCGTGGGGTGCGTGCATGGCGGCCTGCAGCTCCACAAGCGTCCTCACACGAGGAAAACCAAGCTTGGTTAGGGATGTAACACACACCCGGAATTAAAAATAACAGTATGACAGTGCTGCTGGGGAGAAGGTGGTGGGGCGCCAGGCCAGGCCGCCACCGCCACCAGGTACCAAGTCCACCTGACGTGGTGACTCACGCTCTGGTCCAGCCGTTTCTGGAAAAAGTCCTGGTCCTCCAGGACTAGTCGGATGGCCCAAGGGGAAAGACTCCAGGTTGGAATCCCAACCAGGAAGAGTGGCTGGGCCCGTCACCCAATGGCTACCACCCAAGTCCCTGCCACCCCGTCCTCCTCATCTGCAGGGGCGCTTTCCGCCTCATGATGTGGCACCCGACAAGGGAAGAACTTATCTCTTCCCAAAGAGCTTCAATCCTGTCCTAGAAAGGAGGAGACTGAGGCCCAGCACAGGCAGGAAGTGGCTCAGGGAAGTGATGGAGGGAGGCGGGAAGAGGCAGGCTCCCCAGACGCTGACTGGGGAAGGAATTCCTAGCTGGCCAATGGTCCTGCGCATGTCCCGGGCAGGAAGAAACCACATTCCTTCCTAGTTACTCTGCTCCCTCGACCGCGTCAACACCCCCTGCGCCAGCACAGGCAAACACACGTCCCCGACACATCCGACACCCCGGTCACCTCCCCCGGACACCTCCAACTTCGGCCCCGGCGGACCGGGCTGGTGCCAGGGCGTGGGTGGCGCATCCAGGTGTGCCCGGGGGGAGGCCCAGGAGGAGGGGCACAGCCGGGGCCCCCAACGCCGTCCCCAAACCAGGAGCAGTCCCGAAGGCCTCGGAAGACGGGAGGACCGTGCGGGGCGCCGACCGGAGAGGCCGCCGCGGCCACCGTGGGCAGCTCAGTGGGTCCAGGATCTGGGGTCGGCCCGAAAACTCCCGTCTAAAGCGCCCCTGTCATCCCAGCACTGAAGAGGCTGAGGAGGAGGATGACCGTCAGTTCAGGGCCAACCTGGGCTACGCAGGAAGGCCTGTTTTACAAAAAGCCGGAAGAGCAGGCTCAACCTGAGAGATGTCGGCGGGGCCGGTCACGGTGTCCCAGGTGCGGACGCGGCCTTGCCCCCCACAGGTGCCCCCGGCGCCGCCCGCCCGCCGGGACGCCGCGCCGCTCACCTGGTGGGCCCGGTAGCTCTCGAAAGCCTTCAAGGCGCTGTCGGTGAGCTTCACGTGGAACACCGACACCCTGCTGCCGTCGCTCACGCGCCCGCACGACAGCCCGTAGCTCCGAGCCTCCTTCAGCGCCGCCATCTTGTAACCATCTCTCCCCCGCCCCCTCCTCGGCGACGGCGCCCGGGCGCCGGCCCCGCCCCTCCCCGCCGCCCTCCGACGCGCTGCATTATTCATGAGGCCCGCGCGGCCACGCCCCCTCCACGCGCGCCGCGGCGGAGCCGGCGGACGAGCGGCCACGCCCTCGGGCCCCGAGACCGCGAGTCCCGCGGCTTTAGCCACGCCTTTCCCGCGCGCCCCCCGAACGCGCCCGCAAGAAACCGCTACGCACTGGCCCCGCCCCACAGGTCTCGCGAGGCCGGTCTCGGCGGCCCACCGGCATCTCCCGGGGCGGGCTGGCCACGCCCCCAGGCGCTCACAGCCACGCCCCAGGCGCTCGAAGTCACGCCCCTGGCGCTCACAGCCACGCCCCAGGCGCTCGAAGTCACGCCCCAGGAGCTCACAGCCACGCCCCTGGCGCTCACAGCCACGCCCTGGCGCTCGAAGCCACGCCCCCAGGCGCTCGAAGCCCGCCCTCATGCCCAACTCTGACAAAGCCTCTCAGCCGCGCAACCCGCCGCAGAGCTGTGCTATTTCTGAGAGGCTGGTTACGCTCCCCGACGCGCTCGTCACCAGCTCGCGGTGATGAGCCTGTTCACGGTTACCGGCCAGGAAGCCACGCCCCTCACCGCCCAGGCAGCCCGCCCTCTCCGAGGGAAACCTGTGGACGCGTTCCGGGATGGCCACGCCTCCGGCCTGCAGAGTCCCCGCCCACACAGAAGTTAAAGAAGCACTACGCACCTAGCCACGCCCACTCCAGGTCACTGCCACGCCCCAGCCGCCGCCGAGCCCTGCGTCACCGAGGCGACGCTCACCCAAGCCCTACGCGCTCGGCCCCGCCCCTAGGGTCCTCCCGCGCCCGCGGCCGGGCTGGGGCACTATTCGAGAGGTGGAGACGATCGCCGCCCCTCTGCACGGCCCGCCCGCTCCACGGCCCGCCACGCCCCCGCGCCGGGGAGCCCGTCCAGCGTTCACCGCGGGGCACGCAGGTTGCCAGGCCCTCAGACTGCCGAGGCCCGCCTTTAACAGCCTCAGCTCCTCAGACGGGCTGGGTTATTCCGGAATCGGCAGGTCGCATCTCGAAAGCCAACCCCCAACAGTTTGCCGGCCGGCCACGCCCCCGACGTCCCCTCCGCCTCCGCCCCTGCACGATACATATTCATAAGCCGCGGACGGTCCCCCTTCCCACGACCCTGGAGCCGGCCACTTCCAGCCCCGCCCCACAGGCCTGCCCCTCAGGCCCCGCCCCTCAGGCCCCGCCCTCATGCATTATTCATGAGTCTGGACCACGTGGACGCGCTAGCCCCACCCCTCAGTCTCTCACTCAGGTATTTATGCTTTTTTCTCCCTTTAGGTGAAGTCTGCGCAGACCCCGCGGGAGGTGGGCGGGGCCTGAGCGCAGCAGGAGGGGGCGGGGTCTATTGAAAGGCGGGGCTGGGGGCGTGGTCACGCAGATGAGGTACGCGGGGGCCCCGGGGTCCACTAGTGGGGATCCCAGGCCCGGAGGCCGCCCCGATGCATACAGGGCGGTGTGCTGAGCGTCTCTGATGCTGAATGTTCAGTAACAGGGTAAAACTCCCACACGCCACGGCTCGCTTCCCAAAAACACTAACGCGACATCCTGCACGTCCTCAGTGTTGCGCAATCACCACCACCGGCCACTCCAGAACATTCCTTCCCGGTATAAACAAGCCTGGTCCCCATCTGCAGTTTTTCCTGACCCTTCCCTGTCACTGGCGTCTCTGATCTGCGTGTCCTCGTGGGCATTTCGTAGTGCGGCCACACATCCAGAGGCCTCTGAGGACCACACGGTATTCTGGAGCCTGTAATCAACAGCTGTTGCTTGCCCACCGTGGATGCTCACTGCTCACCTGTGGACAGTTTTTAATAGACTGTGAACTGCTGGGATGTGTCAAACTCCTACACAGTGACTCTAAAAAAAAAATCTTTTGCCCGGGGCGAGGGGCTGGGGGTGCATGGCTTTAGTCCCAACAGATTTCCAGAGGCAGAAGCAGGAGGATCTCTGTGAGTTCTACAGAGTGAGTTCCAGGACAGCTAGAGCTACACAGAGAAACCCTGTCTTGCAAAAAACCAGAAATATATACATACATTATAATCTATATCTATATATATGTGTGTGTATATAACCTTTAAGGGTTCTCACTATGTGGCCCTGACCGGCCTGGAACTCACCATGTATGGCAAGCTGGCTTCAAACCCAGCTTTGCTTGCCTCTGCCTCTGAGCTGCTGGGATTAACTCTTGTGCCACCACACCCAGTGTAAGATTTTTATACATATTATTATGGGGGAGCGGTCCTAGCTGGTGCCTGTTTGACCTGCCTGCTTCACAGACTCCAGGAGATGTCTGGCTATTTTCCTGGAAATGTTCAGGAAATGCTTTGAGACAGCCTTGGTCTTCCCGCACTGAGATGGTAGGTGTGAGTCACCACCCACTTCTTGGTTATTTTTCTAAGTATGAGTGTTTGTGTCTGTGCACCACGTACGTGCCTGATGCTCTCCAGACCACAAGAGGGTATCAGATCTGGAACTAGAGTTACAGGTGGTTGTGAACCCCCATGCCACTAAGCCGATGTTCCAGCCCCTTGTTTTGAGGTATAGTCTCAAGATCCAGGCTGGACTGGCACTTACCACAGAACTGAGGGTAACTATGAACTCAGAATCCTCTGGTCTGAGTCTGACTTGGGATGACTGGCGGGTCTCACCACTGGATCTTACTTTATTTCTGCCCAGCCTCCAAAGGAAGCTAGCTGTCACAGCCCAGGATGCCCCAGTGAGGGGCTAGGGGCATGGTCCATCCATCCCTAGAATACTTTGAACTGGCAAGATGGCTCAGTGGGCAAAGCTACTTGCCACCAAGCCTGATGACCTGAGTTCAATCCCTAGGACCCATAAGGAGGAAGTGATATGTACCACTGCACACCCCCAACCCCAACACACAGTTTAATACAAAGTAATGAGACCTTGGGTTCCCAGAGCTGCTAACTAAGCCAGACATGACAGCAAGTTTGTGGTCCCAGCTGCCCAGGAGACTGAGGCAGGAGGCTCACCAGAGCCCAGCAGTCAGTACCAAGGTCAGCAGGTAGAGGTTGGGCGGTGGTGGCGCACGCCTTTAATCCCAGACCTCGGGAGGCAGAGGCAGGAGGATCTCTGTGAGTTTGAGGCCAGCCTGGGCTACAGAGGAGATCCAGGACAGCCAGGACTGTTGCACAGAGAAACCCTGTCTCCAGGCAGGAGCATACAGGAGGATGTGTATGGGTGCGTTTTATGGGGGATGTGGGACTTGAGTATCTAGGGGCGGGGCGTAGGGGAGGCAAGGCCAAGGCAGGTTCTGGTAAGCGGACGCCCCAGGAGGGTGTGGGCGACCACTCTGCGCCCTCCCCAGCAGATCTGCCTGTCTGCAGAGCGGCAGCTGCTCTGACCCGGGAGTGTCAGCACCCGGCTTTAGTCTGCCCTGTGTGGCTGCTCTGACCCGGGAGTGTCAGCACCCGGCTTTAGTCTGCCCT